TAATGGACGCATCATCACAATATTTTATTCATTGATTTATTTTTCTAAACAACTAGTCGGATGTAGACATCGTCTGACAGCTACCTGAGGTTCATCTCCCCGTTGACCAGCAGTGACATGATATTGGAGAGGTTTCCTCCAGGGCAGCAGCCGCACAGCAGCACAGCCATAGCGGCCACATCGTTGAGGGAGAAGGCCAGAGCCAGGAGGAAGGAGATGAGGTGGGTGAAAAGTCTACTAAGACTCGTTTTGTTTTCTTCTTCTTCTGTTGTTATGTTGCACATTAGCAGCATATTAGTACACTGCTGCCTCTCATTGGTTTATTAATGTCATTGGTTCCTTTGTGGCTACTTGAATATTTTAAGTAAGTGTCACTCAAAACAGTAAGTAAATTGTTTTATTTGCCTTGAAAGTAGCTGTAACTTAATAAAACCTAGTAAGTATAACAACTAAGTAAAGATTACTAATTAAATCTAAGTAAGGTCAACTATTGGATTTTACAGTGTATATTTATACAACTAGTAAACTAGAATTGTTTATATTTTCAAAACTGTATAATGAACACATGACAATATTTTATTCATTAAATTATATATATATATTCGGAGGGCGAGAACGGACCCGCCAGGAGCCCCGCTGGAGCCGCATCAGTCCTGAAGCTGCTGAGCACGGGTGAAAGCGGCTCTTCTGTGGCGCGTAACCCCGCCATGGAAGGACTCTCTGAGAAGCTGACGGGATCCTCTGTGAAGTTCAGGAGTTGCGTGAGCGCGGTGCTCGGCACGCTGCTGGAGGTCTCCATCGCGTCTCTAGGGGACTGGAGCTCTCCAAAGGATCCTTCGGTCTCCGCTGGTGTCCCCTCCCTGAACTGTCCCCTAGCGGCGCAGAATCATTGTGTGACTGAGTGACACTGTCCAGCGCGGAGCGCGCGGTGCACCGGGAGGAGTTTGGCGCGGAGCGCGCGTCACCAGGCGCCATCCGAACCAATTAACTCAGAAACTGATCACTAAGACGCATTTCTGGAGGGAAAAAATGGAGTTGGATTGTCCGCGTGATTGAAATCGTTTTTTGGTACGCTATTAGTCCGTGAACTTTTTTATTCAACACCAGCATTTTAGGTGGAAAAAACATATAAACATAAATGGAAAAGTTACATTTTAGGGTCCTCTTGGAGACTGACAAGACAATTAAAATTCTTACTCTATTTGGAAAATATATCATAGGCCTACATAAAGATGCATGTCAGTTGTACCAAATATTAGATTGTTTTCCATTGACGAGTTTTTAAAAAATTAATTAAAGATATATGACGTAATAAAGAAGAGCTAGGCCTATATCTATTCTATAATTTAGCATATATAGATGTTTATGTTTTGGAACTTCTGTTTTCCCCTGTTAAAAATCCATCTAAAAAAAGCAAAAACATTTTACTTAAATGGACATGCAGGGTGACAAATTAATTGTTAACTGAAAAGAAAGAAAGGAAGAAAATAACGTTAAAAATAGTTTTAAGTTTTCGACCTTTAATTCACCACTCAGTCATTTTCTCATAACTTCACCAAAAGTATTTTTTTAACGAATTATTATTAGCTTGAATAATGCTTACCATCATTATTATATGTCATTTTGAATTTTTTGATTTTGATTTAAAAAAAATATTTTAAGGAAAATCTCTCCAAGTGCCATTACTACCTAATAATATTTCATGTCAAGTACTCATAAATACTTTTGCCGTCTGGTAGCCTACACACACACACATATGCTATATTTGAATATTTAATTGAATTATCTTCTGAAATCTATTGCAAAGAGGAACAAAAACGTTAATGCTTATAGAGAAGGAAAATCCCTGATGTGTCTTGGCTGGCCATTCAGAGGACAATAAACAAATCATTGGGACAGCTGTTATATGCATGCAATAACATGATTTGAAATGAAAACTTGTGTCCATTTGTGAAGAACACTTGTGCAACCACTTGTTCATTGTGCAACGCTGATGCTGTAGCCAGTCATTAATCATTTACATGTATTGATCTAATACTGGGTGTTATGAAGCATTCAGTATAAAATTTCTCAATTTTACACGCAGATTTTACATTTTAAACCCCAATATAGGCTACATAGGCCTATTTATTTTATTTATTTTTTTTTTCTATTTTTTTTTTTTTCACTTTTATTAATTCGACAGCCGTGTGACACCATATGCTTCGGCTATTTGAAATAATTGTTTGTGGACAAGTCGTGTGTACTTTCACCCTCAGTCATGGCCAGAGACGTGATGTTCTCAATATTTACATAAGTGACGGGTTTTCTCTGACTGTCCTATTTTCCTGTAAGCAGTGCTGGAGTCACACACAGATCATCTCTGTCAGGATATATAACTGAAGGGAATGAGCAGAATTTTGGATTAACCGGACATCTAAACAATCAAATTAGTAGGTAAGATGTCGTTTTATTGACCATTTTAGACAATAATCTCCAGTAAGGGAACTACGTTAATGTACATTTCTACGTGATTCATTTTTCTTCGTTTTATTCTTAGTATTAAGTAGGCTTATAGGCTTCATTAAATTATTTTTGTTCCGAGTACAAAAAAAGCAAGGAAACTCTATGCTAGAAATACATCAACAGTTTATGTGAGAAAATAATTTAAGCTTGAATTCTTTTGAAGTGGTGAAGATGAATTCCTGGCTCCTGCACGCGCTCGCGGTGACGGTGGTCTTCTGTTTCCGTGACGCCCTCTCGTGTCCGAAGCGATGCACGTGCCACTTCAGTGCCAAAACAACCGAGGTGGTGTGTCCTGACGCTGGCCTCTCGCATTTCCCTGGAGACGGTCTTCCTGGAAACACCACCTCCCTAACCATCCAGTTCACCAACCTGAGCGTGCTGACCTCGCAACACTTGACAGCCATCCCACTGCTGGAGGAGTTACACCTGCCCGGCAACAAACTGAGCAGTTTACCAGCAGATCTTCTGAAGGGCCTTTATTACCTGCACACTATAGACCTCACAGGTGTGTGTGTGTGTGTGTATGTCAAAATGTTAAGATTTTGTAGCTGTGCGTCTGTGTGGGGAAACGCTATTGTAAGAAAAAATACTTTGAAATTTGACTGTTTTGTGTTTATCTTATTATATAAGCCTCAGCATTCACATAATGTAATTTTATTAGAACATTCAAACCGCGTGAAATATATGTGGCGTGAAATTTCTCTTCAGTTCAAATCGCGAAAATAAAAATCTATTTCTCTTTACTATACAGAACGAAAAACATGAATTGACATATCTTTTTCATATAAACCGCGGAAAGCGACAAAAACAGCTTGAACTAGGCCTGCATGTACATTTAGTTACCTCAGAAGTCATTCAATGTCCATAGCTCCTTAGTTTAACATTTAGACTGAAGCATATCGTTAAAATAGTAAATATATTGTTAAAATGTAAACTAAATGCATTTTATTTAACTGTCACAATTTAACGTAACAAATATCCAAATTCTGTTCAAATATCTGAAAATCGTTTGGAATCTTTAGAGGCCATTTTCTAAAAAACTATTTTTTTATGAAAGCCAAAACTACACCAAATGATGCAGCAGGTCAAGTATGTTTGTATTGTTTTCTAACTCCTATCCAAACTGTGCTCAGATAATGAACTGCGAGAGCTACCTGCATACGTTTTCCATCACGCTCCACTTCTCAACCTGGTGTTGAAGGACAACCGCATCTCCAGCATCCACCCAGACTGGTTGCCCATCAACAGCAATATCACTTGGTTGGACTTGTCTGGAAACCATCTTATGAAATTCCCAATGCCCCAACTCCAAAGCCTGAGTCAACTAAAGGTTCTGCACCTCTCGCAGAACAAAATCGAAGAGCTTCCAGTTGGGTGTTTAGATGCTCACCCCGCTCTAGAGAGACTTAATTTAGACCAGAACAAAATCCAGTCTCTGGATGTAAAAGCCTTTAGCCGCTCTGGTAACTTGACTCACATCTTCCTGCAGAAAAATGGATTAGATAGTCTCCCGCCGACTGTATTCCAGGGGCTCAAGCGCTTGGAGTACGTCGACCTCAGTGACAACAAGCTGCAGTTTTTGTCCCCTGGCACATTAGACATTAATACCAGTTGGGTGGAGTTGATCTTTAACCCTTGGCATTGCGATGCTAAAATAGAGTACCTGTGGAGAAAACTTACCATGGAGTCCCTGCAATCAGAGCCCAAATGTACTGCACCAGAGAATCTGAAAGATCATGTCATCGCAACACTCACCCGCAAAGAAATGGGCCTGCCGGAGTAAGAGAAACAACATGATCTGGAAGAGATGTACATGAAAGTAAATGATTTTTATTTAATTTTTTTTAAGCAGCAAGAGGGGACTTTTAACACACCATAGTGGATCTTTAAAAATGGATCATGTGAATGCTTGCAATCTGCATTGCAAATAAAGATTTATTACATTTTCTCTTTTTATACATTCATTCAAAATTGTAACGGCACAACTTTGACATCCAGTACAAAATTCTTTTTTTAGTTTTTAAAACCACATTTTAAAACTTGGGAGTTTCCAACACATACATTATCACTTATATATAATAAAATAATAGAAAACTAAAAATTACATTATAATGAAAGTGATAAACTACAGATAAATTTAATTTTATGGTAATGATAAATATTTGATATACAGCTACAACCTAAAATCAGTTCATTGCAATGAATCTCAACATTTTCCACAATGTGTCTATGATCAACAGTCAAATGCTATAAAATATCTTCTGACACTTTAGTTTTGGCACGTCAATAATTTATGGACAAATAAGCGACAGACCACACAGTTTTTTTTAAACTTTTATTTGAAATGATTCAACGCAGGGGAAACCGAGCATCATGTTTGTGGAGATATAAAAGTTTTTACCAAAAAAAAAAAAAAAAAATCCACAAAATGTTTATGTCATGTATTCATGACCATACTAGGCTCAAGCATCCCACTAACTATATCTCAGCACACGGAGGCAGCTCACTGTTTAATAAATAAGCCTCTTATCAGCGCATAGTATTTTGTCATAAATATCAAGGGGCTTTTATAACAGATCTTTGTTACAAAAAAGCAAATATAAATGTTATCAAAGCAATTACAAAAATCAAACAAAACTTGAGCAAGAAATGCAAAGAACCCTGAAGTAAATAATATTGGCAAAATAAAGCAATTGGCACAAACAAACTAAAAAAAAACACAGAAATTCATAAATTATATGCACTCATTTTTAAACAAACTTGCGCAGTCTCAATAGTATGCTAGTGTGCAGCAAGATATCATCTCCATATGTTCAGTTGGCACTCCCATTCAGTTACCAGTAAGCGCCATTTTAATTCTTGGCCTTTTTTCAATTATTTCACTCGGAGAATGACGACAAATAACATGACCAGGAATTTCCCAAAATTAATAGTACAGAAGCACTACACTTCACCCACAGAACCACTTCTTTTTATGACCTTTGCCACCGAGACATGATCACTGGGACATCAATCGATGAACAACGTTTGACGATACAACAGTTCACCTTATGAAGTTAGTCTCAGGCATTTATATTCAATGAATTTCCCAATTTCCAGTTAGGATATACAAACACGATTGAAGAAATTTGACTTGAACTTTTCACTGATTCGTGTCTCATTGATTCGTGTTTCCTTTCGAAATAAGCAAAAGCATCAATCCTGCTGTGTATCTGAGGGCTCAAACTAAACACATTTGTTCAAAGACTGAAATGCATCCATTATTCAGACATATAAAATGCTTTGGAAACATAGCTTTGCAGTTGAGGTTTAATAATGACATTCAGAAATAAAAAGCCCAAAAATAAAGATTAGTAAACATACATATATATTTATAAAGACCAAATACTGTATGAATACTCTTTGAAAGAAATATTTAAATAATGATTTCAAATAAATAAGAGGTCACATAGATATGAAAGACATTCTGACAGAATGCAATTGCCATGTGGACTCTTTGTCGCCATACAAACCTTTCCCACTTAGTTAAGGTCAATTTGTATGTGCTCACAAGGGATCCCCACTAATGTTGTTACAGAGGAAACAAGTTATTCAATGTTCTTCTATAGTGGGTTTTGGGGGGATTTGCAAGCAGGATTGTGGATTTGGAGCCATTTGTAGTACAGGTGCTGTTTGGTAGGTGAGGGCGAATCCCAGTCTGTTTTTTTTTTGTTATTGTTGTTCTTTGGCATTCTGCGGCGTCCAGTCTGCCTTCCCCATCTATCCTGCTGGGATGAGAGCTCTGCAACATCAACTGAAAGAGGAGAGAATCATTTGTTTGGAAGAATGTGTCTCTTTATTTGTGGGGGTTAAAGATGTATCTCTATAAAGTGCCAGGTTGAACTGAAAGCCTGCTCAGTAGCAGCCCTCTCTCCAGCTCTCGTCTCTGATACCACTGTATGTCCTTGGAGCTGGCAGAGACCTGTGGAGCAAATAATAAACTCAGTATGTACTTCACCAGGTTACGATATGTTTATAGCGAGTTGTGAAAACCTGAGAGTACCTGCGCACAGGCTGGACCAGTTTGCTGCGAGGCACTGGTAAACCTCCTCCAGCATTGGCGGTGGGGCGGGGCAGGCCGCTGCGGGGCGGGGCCATGGAGCGCATGGGCGTGGCTGTGCCTGAACCATGATTAGACATGACCTTCATGGGCTGACGGAGAGCCAAGGGAGACGGGGCAGTGGGAGTCCGCAACTTACTGGAAGAGGGCACTGGAAAAAAAAAAACAAAGAACGATAAGTGTGGACGATAGAATTAAATGCAACAGATGAAATGTAAAGGAACTGAAATACTGGATATTTCATAAAAGATAAAACATTACAGACTGAATAAAAGACAGAGCTTCTATTCAATAGTTTATCTTCTATGACAAATGACAAACAATAATGAAAAAAGATGGATGCAACCCTAAAAACCAAAAGAATGCAGTTAGATAACTAATTCATAAAGCTACACATTAAACATAACCACGATTAAATAAACATGCTCCTATGTAACACGCAGAGGACTGTTTTCCACATTCACAGAGCTCAACACTAGCATTAATGGCATTTAACACAAAGCTGATATAAAATAAGGCACAATAAGAATGGATGGATGGATTTAAACAGCCTTGATCAAGTAGTGTTCTCAAACATTTTCAGAAATACTAGTTATACAAATGTCCCCCTTGTTGCAAAACACAATCACAGTACAAACACAATCTACCATTCACGCACACTTGCACAACATAAAATATCACAGCACTGAAAAGCTGCATTATCATCAGTGTATATACTCACTGAAATCTGTTTCCTCTCCAAAGCAACACGAGAGAGGAACTGGGTAAAAGATGGAAAAGAGAGGGTTGGGTTTGTTTCCGCTCCAAAAGCTGTCGAATTGCTCAGGACTTGTACCATTTCTCTTTTTTAAAGTGCAAGTGTGACTGACCAACAATTTAATGCAACCAAAGTGCATTAAATAAATAATTAGAATTAGACAGATGGCTTTACAGACTATTGAAACATTTGGTTGGGTGACAACGTTTAAGCAGTTCCATTTAATAACAAAAGTAGTAGTACAAGAAGACATGAAACAATTGTACCAAAAGGGGGCAGACCCACAGCAACCTACAGCATCACTCACCATATAACACTGCAAAGAAACAGCAGCATTTACAACCACAGGTGAACAAACTATTCTTAAAAGCCACTCCAAATCAATATACAGCACAAAATTCAGTCCTAGACAAATATTTGTACTCAACGCTGTGAGATGACATTTACAGTTGAAGATCGACAGACGTTGCCTTTTTAAGGTCAATAAATATTAGTGACCAATAACCAACAGACCTATTTTAATTAGTTTGCCTCAATAGCTAAATGACTACACAATAAAATTATTAATAAATTATTATTTTATTATTCATGGGAAAATTATACATTCTTAATAGTGGTAATAATAATAATAGCAATTCTGCAATTTAGGCGTACCTGCTTTTCAGAACTAAAAATCCCATTCACATAACCTTTCCCAAACCTACCAGGTTGGTATGCAATAATATATTCTTTTTGTAAAAAAAAATTGGGAAATTACTCGAGCTCAATTTTGAATCATAACCCAGACCCCTGTTTTCAAAAAGACCTGGGTGTGATTTCTCATCAGAAAACAGCTTCCACACCAACCAAACAATACTCTAACAGTGGGTCCATAAAATACTTCCAGGACTATCTGGTATCATGACCGAGTCTGGGTGACCTGCTCAGTGCATTACCTCGTAGAGACGTAGGGCTCTGGAGTTGCTCTTTTGGTTTTGGGGAGGAGCGAGCAGGTGCGGACAGCCTTTGGTGTGATGCTGAGATGAGAGACAAGTAGACATTATGTTTTTATCCAGGCTAATCTGAGCTCAGCAGTCCACGTCCACCTGCAGGCACTTAACCTCCAACCAGAACTGATCCAAAATCAGCTTTAACCAAAAAGTTTAGGTGATGCCAAGGCAAAAACAGCCAGCTAGGGTCAGGTTTAATTCAAGGCAGAGCCATTCCATGCATGGGTGAGACAGAAGACTACTTCCAACCAGCCACCAGAGGGGGCCACAGCCAAGAGAAAAATGAAACCCAGGCTGAAGAACAGGCAGGAGGCAGCACTAAGCCAAGAGTGAATCCAACTACATCCAGACAACCAGCACCTCAGCCAAAAACAAAGGCAGAGAGAGAAGGGAAGAGGCAGAACATGCTGGGCATGAAGGACAAAAATTAAACTAGACTGTCCATATTACCAAACGAGGGGGAGAAGCCTGAAATACTCACTGCATTCAAGTATGTAAAATCACTTAAGCAACCTCATGTCTTTGTGCTGTTTAAGAGATGGCTGTTTATTGATGGTCACTGACTCACTGAAATACTGGCTATTATTAATTAACTAAAAATATTTCGATACAAATATTACAGAGCGACTCCACTCCTTTTTGAGAGACTTGATCAGATAAACTGTTCATTGACAGAAAGAGATCTGGCCTTCGTTGACCTCGCATGGATAAAATGATTCAGTACGTCGTCATCAAATGTTTGTTTTTTTTCATGGGCGTCACTGTTCTTAAAAGTGCTGAGGTCAGCTGGACCTTTTCACTTTTGTGCTGGTTGTGATGTCATGAAATGGTAAATGGTTCAGTTCATGAATATTAATTAGTTTACACACCAAAAACATGAACATAATCGGTTTTAACAAATAATTATTTAGAAAAAAATGCAATTTTGAGGTGGCATAAATGCAATCCAATAATCGTATGTATATATAAACAACAATACCTATTAATACAAAAAACCAGTCAGTAACTACAAAGATTAAATTCTCAAAGTTAGGGTCATATTTATTGTTGTTCAGTGAATTTTCAAGTTAAAACTGAGTTATCTCAATATGATTACACATGTATGGGAATTTAGATTGAGGGTAAAAGATTTCCCCATACCGATTTTGCATTGGGTTCAAGTTGGTCACGCAAATTCACTGTAGTGCCCAACAGAAAGCTGCTCGTTTTAAAAGTGACTTCTGTGGTTTCCATACATCATAGACAATAGACAACAGACTCTTTTGTCTGCAAAATTTTGATGAAATTTCATGCGACTGCACTTTAACAGTAAACTGCAGTATGTGTGGGTTTAAAAGAGTTATTTGTACTACACTGGTCATGCTCTAAGGTGTTGATTTACTAAAAAGAACTGACTCATAAGAGTCATTCGCTTGGGAATCAGATTTTATTCCTCAGTGTTGGCAACATTGAAAAGAGTTCTGAAAAAAAGACTTATGACAACCTTTGTGGTAATGAACACTCAACATTAACATTTTTTTTACATATAATATATAAAATGTGTATAATAATAATAAAAATAATATTCTAGCACTTGATCAGTGCGCTACATAACATTTAAAATGTTATATAGGCTACTATGACAAATCAAAACTCCTGCTCAAGAATTGGAGATGCTTCCTACTGTATGCACACATCCATGCCAAAATTACACCTTTGTTTTTTTTTTTTCAGTAATGCTATTAAATGTGATTGATCACATGGGTGTAATGGAATATGATTACTATAATCTGAAATGTTTTATCCTACAAATAAAATGACAAACTTCAGTGTTCCTTGCCACATTAAACACACCTTCAAGATCCATCATCTGAAGAGTTCCCTAAAACATAAAAAATCACCCCTGAATAATAATTTACAAGGGCTTTGTTTGAAAGTCAGTCAGGCTTTTAGAGGAAATGCCAAGATGCCAATAAAATGCGGTCTAAGAGAAAATGTGAGAAGATCAAAGAGCCTCATCCAGCAAGCCAAGACACCGGCAGTGCAGTTAAGAGCACAGCATGAACGTGTGTCAGAAGCACAGAATCCATAACCAAGAAGTGCAGAGTCATAAAATGTCAAATGTTAGCATACATCAAGATTTACGAACAGAACAACATTCATGATAAATTTCATGTCAAGGAATGCAATGAAGTCTTTTTGTGTGGTGAGTTTGAGTCAGAGATTGTGTGTTTGCTCTACTGTATGTGTTTGTGTGCTGTTTACTGGCAGTTAAAAGCTCTGCACATGTTCATTGGATGATTTGATGTATGTGTGCATGCATGCTCACTGATGTGTCTGGACACTCACTGGCAGACTGACTCTGGTGTCTGGGTGACCCTCCGTTTGGCACTTGCAGGTTTGACTCACAGCTCCTGCTGTTTTTGACTGGCTCTGCAGTCGGTCCAGAGCTGGATCGTGCGAGGTTAGGTAGACTCCGTCTCAGCTTTTCTGCGCACAAAAACAGAAAGGATGAAGAAACCCACATTTAAACTGACATTGTTTTTAAGAGAAGTAGCCCAAGTGAAATGTGATTGGAAGATCTACCTTCATTCTTAATGGCATTGGTCTGCGTATCGTGGCCTTGCAGAGAGTGGCGGGGCTGCTGGAGGCGGCTGATGATCGGTTGGGGAGATCCGCGGCTGTACTCTAAAGAGCGGGCGGGTGAGCGGGATCGGGGCGAGTTCCTGGGGGAGACGCGGGGCGAGTGCCGAGGGGAGGGGCTGAAGCGGTTGGCGGGTGTGTGGTAGGAATGGTGGACCGCCTCCTCATCATCCTCCAGGCTCTGTGCATCCAGCTCCTGGTCACTCAGAGTTCCTCGTCGCAACGACTGACATGATGAACCAGAGCTACGACGTGACGCTGTTGCAGCGTATTCTTGCCTTAAGCCTAAAAGAGGGAAACGGAGATACATTTGAGTTTAAATCTCGAGTGATCCATTTAGGCATTTTTATTCACGTTTAAGACGATCGATCATCCATTTCAGCAGCATGATAACCAAATGTAAACGTTTCTTAGAAAGATAGAACAGACTAAAAGACAAGGTGCAACACTTGTTAGAGAGAAGACATCACTCACTCTCCTCCTGCATGCGGGCGAGTATCTGCACGTCTGTGACGTCATTGAGTTTATATGTGGTCGATGAACCGACAGAGTCTTCATCCATCTCTGATGTGCTTAACTCACTGTCTACTGATGACTGTGGGCTCACTGCCTGTGCGTTTCTGTCAGCCGATCCACGCTGGTGACCTACACACACACACACAAGATAAATGAAATACATTAATATACACGAAAATAAAAACAACACTTTCTAAATAGTTATTCATTGGAAGATCTACAAAATAAACACTAAACGGGTGTTGGGTGTTTTCTGCTTAAGTCATATTGATTATGTTAGGAAATAGGAATCAAATACTAGCCTACTACTTATTGCATACTGGACCGCATATATTAATCAGAGGTTACATTAACAGAAAATAATCCATCATTCTCCATTTTTTTAAGAGCTTTCAACCAAACAACAGTGAGAAAAGTGCAGTTTTTAACACAGAAATAACAAATATGCAACTTTCCATACCATGTTATGATGTAATGTGGTTACTTTCCTGATTAGTAACATGTTACCTATAAAAATAACTTTCCCCAACTGCAAATTAATAAACAGCAGCCTCACACTTGTGACATTATGTTTCTTTGTAGCATGTAATAAATTCCTCAACTATTTCTTACTCCACATTTGGAGTAAAGAGGCCTTTACCTGCGCTGCCAGGCAGAACGAGCTGCTTGACGACAGGCACTCTAGATGGACTGGAGGATGGGGAGTTGAAGCCACTGGTGTAAGGACTGTTTGCCGTGTTTGTGCTGTATGGGCTTCCGTAGGCCACTTGAGGACTGTAGGAACTGTTATATAGACTCCTCCGCTTGTTTGCTGCAAAAGAAAACAAACATAATGAGGGCACTAAAGAACTTCTTGTTGAACGTGAAGTGAAAGCATATTATGGTCTCTTTCTTATGTTGGTAGTTTAAACAAATGCCATTCATTTAGGAGGAACGAATTTCAGACAGCACCAGCTGTTATCATTAGCAGAAATAAATAGGTTTCTTATGTGTCATACTTAAAAACACAAAACCAACAGAAGGTCATATTCCAACCCCCCTCAAGTGCACTTACACAGATGCCATTTTAATGCATGCATGTTTATGGAGACATAGCCTACACAATATGGTTTACAGTCTATTAGGCATCTCAGAGAGTCAATTTAAGCATATGGCATGGCCAAGTCTAATAAAAGAGTGACATTCTAAGTCCTGGTGGAGTGCTGTTGATTGCATACAATGCAGCCTATTCACAGTCTAAGAGTACAAAGACACATATACACACCCACAAGAGCCTTACTCAGTCATTTAGTGGATGACAATGCCATTAGCATCCAGTCAATTCTCTCTCTCACACACACAGACTCAATGTAGGCATTGTAGAGCAATGCAGCACCATGAATATGTAGTTGTCTGTGATTCAGTCACAAGGTTAAACTCTCAGTTCAGCTTCAGCAGGGAGAATGTATCGCTGTTAAAGCTTTTGGCAACACCGACGGCTAGAGAATCTGAAGACCATTAGTTGAATATCGGCCAAGAAAGAGACTTTACTGTGTCTCTGAAGAGCAGAGCATAAAGTAGAAGCCACTTCAGCTGCTCTCGCTGTGGATATACTCTCACATGATCGCTCATCACTTGATCCTGTGTGTGTGTGTATGTATGTTTGGGATGGAAAATTATTAAATAAAAGACAATAATATTAAATACATTAAATTATATAACAATTAACTAATTAAAATACTTTTAGACCTTTACGCATTTTGCTGTGTGACCTAGAAAAAACAAACATACAAACAAACAAATAATTAAATGTTACTGTAATATACATTTTTTTATTGTAATAAATTATATTTTATTTGATTAGTGACCTAGAAATAGTGTAGAAATTTTCCTTATCACAATGTCAAATACTTCTTTAGGATAAAAAAAAATCCCTAAACTTTGTTTATTCCAAGTTTAAACAATAAATTAATAAATAATATTGTAATATATAATTTTATTGCAAAAAAAATTCTTATTTTAATATATGAAGAAATGCAACACAGAGACTTCTATAAACATTTTTGTTTTGAGTGTCAAATCATCAAATCAGAGTTTTGAACCAAAGGTTTGATAGTTTGAAGATTAAATTGAACTGCTGAATTTTTTTATCTTTAAAATCAGAGACCCTATTAAAACATATTTTGAGAAACTAGTCTTAAGGAAACCTAATGTGAAAATAAAACACATTAAAAATCAGCTATATTCATGATGTTGCTTAGTTTTATAATCGGCAACACAACCATCTTGAATATACTGTAAATATTGCTTGGCCTTGTGTGTGTGTGTGTGTCTGTGTCTGTGTCTGTGTGTGTGCAGCTGGACACTCAAGAGGTCATTAAAGCACATTTCCCCAGACCTCCTACTCTTTCCTGCCCTCTTTCCATGGATCCATCTTCTCTCTCTCTGTGTCTCCTGTCTAATGACTTTCTCTCTCTCTACTCCTGCCATCACTCAGCGTGTGCTTTATTCAGAGAAAACAACAACATGCTCTCCCCACTCGCTTCCTTACAGATCAAGCAGTGAACTGCATTAACACCACACCATCAGCCACGCTTAAACGCATACATGCACAACGCTTGAGTGCTGGGACATAAAAACATCCACAGAGACACAGGAATGAGTGTGCACTGATGAATGCTCAGAATGACTGGTCTTGGATATGGGCTGGTGTGGATGACCTCTGACCACTGACTGTTCTGTGTTTTTGTGTGTATGTGTTAAAAACAAAGCCAAGAGCTAGGACTGCCCTCATTCAGCAGGGACTAAAAGAAATGAGGATTGACACAAAGAGCCTGGATCAGTGATGCTGAGACTGCTGTAAGCCAATAACACCAGACTGTAAGGACATTACAATCAAGGACATTTACCATCAAGAGTCAACAAAACATATCAGATACAACCAGATATATGAGCTGGAGGATTGATAATATATTACAACATATGCACACAAAAGTGTCTAAAATCCATTACCTAAAACTGATTCAAAGTGTGTCATGTGAGTTTTTCAGTGTCTTCGAACAGACAAAAATAGATGTGTCCTTAAAACCCAGCCTGAAACAACCTAGTCTCGCAAGTCAGACTTTTGACTATAGGCTTTAAGTCTGGTCCACATAAAGCTCATCCTTACCCAGAATGCTGAGACATCTCCAACAAACAACAGACCTGAAGTCATTCATTTCCTATGGAGAGTAGAACAGGAGCTGCGAGGAGTACCGATTACATGCGTATACAGAATTTTCAGATTCAAATTGGGCTTTGTAGACTTTTGGAGATAGGCTGTATGCGACCACCCAACCGTATTTGATATATTTTATTCAAAGCTAGGGTTGGGCGATACATCTAATATTGGCGATATTTTCATGATATCTTTGCTGTTGATATAAAATATGTCCATTTATTATTTTTTTAACAAGTGTTGATTTTGCAGTAAACAGTCTGTATGTACTTTGTATGTAACAATAGCTGCTCTAGCCAGATCATGTCTTTTTCATGGAGGCTTTAAAAAAAAAAAAAATTAAGAGCAAATGCCATAATATTGATATATATTTAATATTGTTAAAAAAAATTGAAAAATAAAATTATATAAAATAGTGTTTAAAGAAGCCTGCTGTGCTTTCCTTTCAATTTCAATCTCATTTGCTTTGTGTAGATATATTCGTACATTCCTTATTCATTCATTTTACCTTTGTGAATAAGCGGATAATAACAGCCACTTCATGACCATTTTGAAAGCTCTGTGCAACTGGCTCTAATGGATGGAAGAGACTGTCATGTAAAGAGATCAAAGTTTTTCTGAAACCTGAAACTGATGGTACCATAGACATGAGAGAAAAACTACATCTAAGCCAGAACAGAAATACCCAAAGTCTTTTCCATCTTTCAGCATGTTATTATACATACTCCATATATGTGGCCAAAGCGTGCCAATGGCCATTACATTCCAGTTCATCATATGGTTTGGCTCATCCACGCTCTTTCCACCAGAAGCACACCACACTGAGTCCACTAATACTGGATTTGTGTGTCTCCAAGATAGAAAAATCCAAGAAAGACGAGAAGGTGAAATGAGGACAGCTAATCTGTCCTAACTCTGGTGACTACATATACTGCAAAAAGACCCCAGTTAAACCCCACAGATAATTCTGACACTGAAAAGATGCTTTGCTAACTGTGCTTTTTATCTCTGCCTGGACTAAATAGACAGCAGGGCCCATTACAGGATAAGATACATGGGCTTAAATGTCTAACGACTTGAGCAACTATAGACCCAATATCAAATCTTCCTTTTATAGGCAAGATTATTGAAAAGGTAGTTTTTAATCAGCTGAACAGCTACTTAAACTCAAATGGATACCTGGACAATTTTCAATCTGGTTTCCGACCGCATCACAGCACGGAGACAGTGCTCATTAAGATAATAATGCTGGTACTACTAGATCTCAGTGCTGCGTTTGACACTGTCGATCATAACATACTACTAGAGAGACTGGAAAACTGGGTCGGGCTTTCTGGGATGGCAATCAAATGGTTCAGGTCATACTTAGAAGGGAGAGGTTATTATGTGAGTATAGGAGAGCATAAGTCTAAGTGGACGTCCATGACATGTGGAGTCCCACAAGGCTCAATTCTTGCACCGCTCTTGTTTAGCCTGTATATGCTCCCACTAAGTCAAATAATGAGAAAGAATCAAATTGTCTATCAGAGCTATGCTGATGATACCCAGATTTACCTAGCCTTATCTCCAAATGACTACAGCCCCATTGACTCCCTCTGCCAATGCATTGATGAAATTAACAGTTGGATGTGCGAGAACTTTCTTCAGTTAAACAAGGAAAAAACTGAAGTCATTGCATTTGGAAACAAAGATGAAGTTCTCAAGGTGAATGCATAGCTTGACTCTAGGGGTCTAACAACTAAAAATCAAGTCAGGAATTTTGGTGTGATTCTGGAGACAGACCTTAGTTTCAGTAGTCATGTCAAAGCAGTAACTAAATCAGCATACTATCATCTCAAAAACATTGCAAGAATTAGATGTTTTGTTTCCAGTCGAGACTTGGAGAAACTTGTTCATGCCTTTATCACTAGCAGGGTGGACTATTGTAATGGTCTCCTCACCGGCCTTCCCAAGAAGACTATTAGACAGCTGCAGCTCATCCAGAACGCTGCTGCCAGAATTCTGACTAGAACCAGAAAATCTGAGCATATTACACCAGTCCTCAGGTCCTTACACTGGCTTCCAGTTATATTTAGGATTGATTTTAAAGTACTTTTACTCGTTTATAAATCACTCAATGGCCTAGGACCTAAATACATTGCAGATATGTTCACTGAATATAAACCTAACAGACCACTCAGATCATTAGGATCGAGTCAGTTAGAAATACCAAGGGTTCACAAAAAACAAGGGGAGTCCGCTTTTAGCTATTATGCCACCCGCAGCTGGAACCAGCTTCCTGAAGAGATCAGATGTGCTAAAACATTAGTCACATTTAAATCCAGACTCAAAACTCATCTGTTTAGCTGTGCATTTACTGAATGAGCAGCATTGTGCTACGTCCGAACTGATTGCACTGTATTTTATATATAATCATTTTCTATCTTTAACTGTTTTAAATTCATTTTAAATCAATTTTTAAAAGTTTTTAAATTCCTTGTTTTATTGTTGTGATTATTTTTTTATGATTATTTTACTTCCCTTTTATGTAAAGCACTTTGAATTACCATTGTGTATGAAATGTGATACAAATAAACTTTCCTTGCCTTGCCTAACGACTGTCTGTCAAGCACATTTTGTTCAGCTCAATGGACAGTCCACGTGGAAATGAGGTCGTCCGTGAGCTTGTATGAAAGTTGTTTTAGGGGGCGGGGGCAGGGGCAGGGGCGGAGGAGAGAAGGAGGAGAGTCCTGTATTAATGAAAGATCATCACAGCAACATGGGCTGTTTAAGGACAAACCCAGATGCAGTGAGAAGGAAGAGCTCATGACATCAACAGCAGCACAAAGAGCCAAAGACGACATGAAAGAGACAAGGATGAAGAAGGAAGAGAAAAAGGCAGAATGAATGCAATGATGTTGAAAGTGTAATGGATAAGTAAGAACTGTCAGATCTGCAGAGGAAATGGGAAAAGGCATAGAAAAAAAGGAAAAAGAAGAGAACAAAAAGAAAGATATCAACAGGGAAGCAGAGTGTACTCCAAACAGGATTGCAATAGTGGATTGGATTACAGGGGCAAGTTGAGGTCGCGGCAAAAGAAAAAGACACACACACACAGAGAAATTAATGTTGTTCACTCAGGGGAAAGTGAATCTCAGCTCTACCAAGTCATAAGGAGGCTGTAAAGACTTTACTCAACTTGCTGAATCACCACATAACCACAATGTTCAAGAGTATGAATAGCACTTTCTATTAATACGATACACTCTAGTGTACATCTATCGATCCATTTATCAAAAAGGCACAAATTTAGATGTACAAATAATGAAAAGTTTTGTGGTTCTCTTAGATATACTAGACAAATTATTATTAGTTAGTTTCGAACAATTAAAATCATACAATAAAATCATTTTGATAATTTGATATTCAGTTATTTTTATCTAATTATTATAGCATAAATTAAGTAATTTTAATTACCAAAACTGTAACTCTGCACACAACACTATTATGCATATGATTTTTCCTATTACAAATTTTTTTTTATATTTTTCATAAGAATGACATGCATGATTAGAATCATGTTAATAATCTCATTTCATTTTCTCAGTGCTACACAACTGGTAGAGTTGACTGCTTTTGTTCAAACTGTATTTGCTAAGCTGAACCGTGTTACCAAACTAAATATACAAAATGATCAAACAATTATTTATTCTTTAGTTTATGTAAAAAAAATAAGTTACTCAATTACTAAAAACTACCAATTTGGTCCCGAATTAGCTAACCCTACTACTACTAACACCTACTAAAACTGGCAACCCATTCTGGCACTTTTTTTTTTTCCATTTTCTAATATTTAGTGCTAAGGGAAAAACTACACAAATCAGCAACACAAACCAGCAGACATGTCAATTTGTTATAGAACTGCAAGGTTAAAAATATCCTTTCACTGATCACTTGCGGAAAATATATTTTTTTACATAAGCATATGTTCCATTGTCCAAATTATTAAACAGATTTAATATTGGCAATGGTGTTTCTTCAAATAAGAATAAAAAAAGCAAACACTGTCTTGTTTTGTCAGCATGTGATTAAGTCCAAATGCTAAGCAAAACTCTCTCACAGTCTTTCTTTTAAATCTCAGCCTCTCCTTTTGACCCCATGTCCTGTGAGTTATGTAACCCTGGTTATGACTACAACTTTATGGAACTGTTTGCATTTCTGAGGGAAGTGTAAAGCCCTGGAATGAGTTACCATGGCTAGACAAACAGACTCACCAAACAGCAGACAAGTTTACAGCAGAATGCCCATGCTCTGTTTAAAAACTTACTGCCTTTTCACAAAGCTTGCATATAGCTATTGCTGAGTCAGACTCTTCAACCTTCTGGGTGGAATTCATTAAATGTGTGCAAACATGTCCGTCTCTATTTTACTTTCTCACATAGACACAGATGCGCTTCACGGGGGCAACTGGTTCTGAAGAGGGCACAAGACAGGCATAAAAGAAAGGAACAAGCAATAAGAGAGACACAAAGAAGCTGACAGGTGTGCCCAACAGGATAGAGATTTGACATGCATCACACACATCTGCACTGGCTCTCTTCACTCTCTTGGCAATGGCTCTAGGGACTTAGCGATGCCTCAGGTAACCTGGGAACCGCAATACACACCCTACACGCTCGGCATGGGCTGTATACCCACTGACAATGAGCTTTACACAGTGGGTTGGTGAATGAGCTTTCTTTTATTGGGAGTGTTTTGATAAATGACTAACACACAGTGAAAATCATCTCGCGTTTATTCAGCAACTTGTTTATAAACTAAATAAATCAGTCTAGGACTGTAAATTGATTATTTTTTCTTAAATAACTACATAATATACTGAATCTGATTCATTAATAGAATTAACAACAATTATGTATATCAATATTTGCCAAAAAAGCCTCTGAAAGAAGTCTCTTATGCTCAGCAAGGCTGCATTTATTTGATAAAAAATATGGTAAAACACAGTAATTTTGTGAAATATCCTTACAATTTAAAATAAGATTTTTCTATTTTAAGCAGCTTAATATTTTTGTAGAAACCAAAATACATTTTTCAGGATTTTCTCAGGATTCTTTGATGAATATAAAGTTCAAAAGAACAGCATTTATTTTAAATAGAAATCATTTTTAACATTATAAATGTCTTTACTGTCACTTTTGATCAATTTAATGTGCCTTTTGCTAAAAAAAATTGAACCATAGAGTATTACTAAAATGAACATAATCAGATTTTCCCCCTTCATCTTATTTGGGAATTGTGCTGTTTGCTCTGTGATGACACTATGGTGAGTTCACTTACAACAATTACATCATACACCCGTCTGTCTCACACAACGAGACAAGAATGATTCACACCTGGCCCTGTTCCAACGTTAATCAAATGCAGCCACTGCAGATTGGATCTTTTAATGGAAAACTCTGATCTATGAACTGGGAGTTCTCTGGAATGATTCCCATGTCACTTAAGGTGACTCTGTATGAGATGAGCCAGGAATGATCTTTGAGAGTATCACTCAAAATGACTTTTAAGATTATTTGGTCTTTGTCTCCCTCCTCAATGAAGCAATATAAAAAAATATAAGAGTACATAAATGTGTGATGTAACAGTATGTCAGTGGGTGTTGTAAAAGTATCAGTCACATGTCTAATTTGAGCATGGACAGTCAGTTCCCTTCTACAGAGAGCTGCTCAATTTAAGACATGTCACATGGGCATACCTGACTAAAAACAGCAATAGCCTTCCTGACTACAAAGTCAAACCTGTCATAACTATTTGCTACCTATAATTAGCAGAGAGATGGATGGTACACAGACACAGCCGAATGTACAGATACTCTCCAAAAACAAGGATTTATCCAAGTGAACTGCCAGGCCACATGTTGAAAACACATACACACATGGTGACAGACTGATCTCAGCAAGGAAGTGGGGATGGAAGAGAATCAGAGCCAGAAATGGAGCTCAGCAAATGGGTAGAGGGCAGAAGAGAGGAAGAACTGAGAATGAAAAAGAGGAAGTGATAGGTTTGAATAAAATCAACACAGAGAGACACAGAATAGGATGGCCAAATAACCCAGACTCAGATTGACATTTTCGAGGCAGACATAAAATAAAATAATAAGCTGTATAGATTCTATATAAAAAATTTAAAACCTACTTAACGTAAAAGCATTTAATGAAAAATCTACATTTCTACATATATAACATTCATGCTACATGGTAAAAATTCAATGCATCTCTTTTTTTTTGGAATGGGGCCTGCGAGAATGTTCAGAATAAAGACTTATAATACAACAGTGGAAGATATTAAAGGGACAGTTCACCCAAAAATGAAAATTCTGTCATTAATTACTCACCCTCATGTCGTTTCAAACCCGTAAGACCTTCGTTCATCTTCGGAACACAAATTAATATATTTTTGATGGAATCTGAGAGCTGTCTGACCCTGCATAGACAGCAATAAAACTGAAATGTGCCCAAGTCCAGAGATGTAGCAAGGAGATCTGTAAAATAATACATGTGACATCAGTGGTTCATTCGCAATTATTCAAAGCTACGAGAATACTTTTTGTGCGCAAAAAAACAAACAAAAAAACTTTTAATTTGTGTTCCGAAGATGAACAAAGGTCTTACGGATTTGAAACGAGTGTGTGGAGAGTGTGAAGAGTGTGTGGTACCTGACATGGTAAGGTCGAGTCTGTGTAAGAGAGAGCGTTTGGCAGACTCCATATCAGGACTGGGGTTATCCAGAGCCTGTCTGCACCACACAATTGGACTCAAGGCTTTCTGCAGAGGGCTGTTCAATTTTGCTTCGTACAACCTGCAGAAATAAAACCAGAGGTCAGTCACAAGAAATAAACATGCTCTCATTAGGGATGTTCATTTCGGTTATTTTTCCTAACCGACAACCGACGCTCGTTAACCGATTGTTAACCGTTAACCGACAAGATTATTTTAAATTAGAATTTAATTAAATTAGAAAGGATAAGTGTCTGTGACTCGTTAAAACTACTAACATTTGTTTCCCGGGGATTAAT